GATTCTTAATTTGGTGCCTGAGCACTACTAAAATATGCAAAAACCCCAAAAGTCAGCGGTCTAGATTTTCATGTCTTTAACGTATATATAGAGTGACGCAAAATATACATATTTCATATGTATGGGAGTATTGCGTCACTTGGGAGACTGCCGTCCCCCGTGATGGTAAAGTAACTATTCGAATCGGTACAATTGATGAAATCAACAGTACAGTTATTTACATGGTGCTTACTAATCGGATGGGTACAGCATAGCTGTCCACGAAAGTTCGTTCGTTCGTTCGTAGAATATTTTTTTGGTCTTTTTGTTCGTTCGTTCGTTCGTAGAATTGTATTGCGTTCGTTCGTTCGTTCGTAGAAAATGAAATGTTCGGATTGTTCGTTCGTTGTTCGTACGGGAGTCAATTTTGCTTATTTTCACGATTTCTCACAGACTGATTTTACATAATTCGGACCCGAAAAATTTAATGGTGGCAACCGTTTTTTGGCACGAGAAAACCGAATCTGACATTTATTTTACTTTCGAATGGTTTTCGGTACAGTGAAGTACACCTTTGGTACAGTAAATATACATATTCAACACGAAAAAATATTTTCATGTGCGGACATTTGAGTAGTCATCCGACAAAACTTCGATTATTATACGGAAATGATTAAAGTTGATGATAAATTTGTTTCAGTTAACGAAATCGATCTATAGATATTTGATGTTATTGCTTCAAGTCTACTCGGTGACAAAAAAATTGTGTAAAATGAGAGATGCTGCAAAAACATTTGTTACATTATTTCAAGAAATACATTGTATGAAAGCAATATGTATGAAATTGATTGAACATGCATTTGTGTAGCGACCAATTTCAGAATCATAGTCGCGATTTCATTTCATATACACATGCAATCTCATTAGTATACTTTTTCATGCCACAGCCATAATTTGAATAAACGCACGATGATTTTAGTCAGTGAAACGTCGTCTTAACAGCCTGCACCTAGTTACAAGAGACAGATTAATAAATGATATTTGAATTGTTATAACTACCAAGAAGAACAAATAAATTTATTAATTAGACAAAAACACTCTAGTTTTTTTCCCTTTTTCGCCCTCCGATTTTTTATAACAATGTGTTTGAATTATTTTACTTACTGTGCTGGAGTTTTTAAAATTGATTTTAAAGTAATTTTAATCGAGAGACAATTGTTCAAGAGATAGTGCGCAAAACTTAGTCACAGAGACCTGTATGATAATATTTGACATGTATAATTCTGATTATTGAACTTTGTTGTTGTGATGCAAAAATAATCACTGAGCTGATAATGGAATTGAAAAAAAAAGAATCACCACATGTTAATACTATGAAGATGTTTCGAAAAAAGAAGATGAAATTCAATTGATGTGATTTCGAGTATTCCTTAAATTTGTGTAACAATCTATAGAAACTGATAAATGTCAAATTTCAAAGTCATTTACGGCAGTCTATTCTATCACTCGTTTTGAAATGATTTTAGTTCTATTCGGAGAGACATTTGATTCCGATTGTCGTTTCTATATACAAGTTCGAGCTAACACTCAATAAGAAAGAATCACTTGTTCATTTTCATTCTAAAGCAAATATTATTTCAAGGCTCAAAATGAGTGATTCCATCGTTTTAAAAATTTTCGGATTAATTTTTGGATGCGTGGTATTTTTTACATCCGTCTACTTCTTAAATCATGAATTGACGCTTGCAATTGCCATTTTATGTCGTGAGTTTTTTCAATTAGTTTTCAAAACGAATGGACGATGTTTACATGCGCCTGGCTCGTTTAAAGACGTATTAAAATATGTCACTGAAAAGTGAAATGAAATAAAAAATCTCTCCACCCGACAGCACTTTTGTGATCTAATTTGAGGCACAAACATACTGCAAATTATATTTTCAGAGTCTTTTTTCTATATATAGATTTCTCAATTAAATTACCAACAGTTCCAGAATTGAATTTTTTTATAATTGTTTACAGCTCTTAATATGGTGTTGAGCCTCCTTTGGATATGTGGTATCCTAAATGTGAGTATGATATATTGTATACGCTCCATTACGATTAAAATAATTTTTGTTTAAGAAAATTAAATAAATTTACATTTTCTGTCTTCATTTTAAATCAGAACAATGCGGACTTCATGTGTTTTTACCTCATCTGGTGGAAGTTAATATTCGTGATCCTTTTCTTTATATCAATAATTCTCAGTTTTTCGGACGCTTTTTACTTTATTGGAACGATTGTAGATCCATATAATTCAAATAGATTAAAAGACTTAGGAGAAGTGAATCAAAATTTGTTGATATACATTGTTTTTACAGGTTTGTTCACAAATTCTTTTCAAACATTTGATTCCAAAAATGAAATAATATTTTTTTACGATTTCAGTACTGGTGTGGATAGTTGTAACTATCAAGCATTTGCTATATAAAACAATCGAAGAATCCGAACACGAAAGAAGTCTTAGTGACACGACCCAAGTGGATGGAACAAAAATGAACTTCTTTTTCAAACTCTTTTACATAACCAAGTCCGTTGGAAAATTTTATTTGAAACCGTTTGAGGATTGTTTTTCATTTGACTTCCTTTCCGAATTCGGTAAATATATCTGCAAAATTATTGGACATTATTCAAGTGGATGCACCCAAATTGGAGTTGAAACAATATTAAAAGGAAATAAGCATGAAGAGAATCCGTGCACCGACCATTGCAATGTAACCATAGAAAATGAAGAAACAACAACAAACAGAAAAATTATTGACACAAATTCGAATCCAAAGCCTGAAAATGATGTTCAATGTGATTCATTAAATGGTCATTTAAAAACAATAAATGAAAATATAGCAGAAAATACCGTCAATGACGAAACAACATCTAATCAAAATGAAATCGCACACAACAACGATGAATTAAAGTCCAAAGAGCCGGATTCTAACATTGATTCTCCAAGTACATCAGTTGTCGATGATCAGAAAACAAAGACCGATGTAAAAACATTAGATACAGACACAAATACAAACACTAAATCCGAAAATAGTTACCATTCGAAATCTAATGGAATTCAGACGATTGAAAGTGTTGAAAAAATGCCGAAACATGGTGAAAAAGTATCGGAACAAAGTGATACCACAAAGGAAGAAATGGTTTAGATTATGTAAATATTTTATAAGTATCCCATTCACATAAGATCATCATGTCAAGTGAATTGATATTCAACGAAAATAAAACAAGTAAATAGTTATCAATTGAATGTGTTTTTTGTCAATCGATTCGAAAGTGTCATGTACCAAATCACAAACTGACATTTAAACATTATAAGCGTGGTGAAACGTGATTGTTTTCTTTCTCAAATTCTTTTACAAAATTCATGCATGTGATTTCTTTCGTGGAATATTCGAACGTATATTTGTCTTTTTTTCAGAGAATATTTACTGGTTCTGCACACATAGCCGTGATGATTGACTTACAAACAACTATACTATTCCAACGCTTTGTGCAAATGATATGTTTATAATGTATGCGTGAATACAGATATTGATCAATCGACTCGTTTTCTTTAAAGAGAAGTGTATTTGAATTGGTGTTGCTTTTTTTGGCTCACGCTTGTATATTGATATCTCTCTCAATACTTACTGTTTTACTTCTGCCGAATGAATGATATTCAGTTTGATTAAAAAATGCAATGTATTGTTTTGATTTCACCAAGGTTTTTTCAAATTATGTACATATACGTTGCATTTATTGGCTCGAATCATGAAAAATAATCTTAGATTGCTAAAACTGATGTTAATATTTTTAAATTCATCGACATCTCTTTCAGAGACACAGACACAGTTATAGCTGTTATTTTTCAATTGATACATTAATCTACTTTCCTATATGTTTGACTCAATCCGAATCTTCATTATTCAAATTAACTAACGAGTGACATTTAAACACCAATACACACAACAATCATAACAACGGTTTGATAGATTTGTTGATCTTGGTACACACACACACACACACACACACACACACAAATTAAACGCCGCATTGTGTGTTGATGATGTCAACTGGGGAATAACACAGCATACACTGATAAACTTAGCGGCGTTTATTTTGTGTGTGTATACAAAGATCAACAAATGTATTAAAGATTCGTTTCAGGTTATGTACGTCAAATTCACAGAATTTAAAAGAGAGATCTGCTTTAAATATATTCGCTTGATGTGATCATAAAAAAAATCATTCAAGTTTTCTGTTTTGTTGTAAATGTTTTAAATTGCGCATTTGGTTTCGGAATTCATTTCCAAGTGATATCGTTGATATTTTGATCTCTAAATTTTGGGTACGTGTTTTAATCAAAAATATTTGTGAAAAAAATGTTCAAAATTAAAGGATTTATTTTCTTATTTTATATAGTTGTCATCTATACAATGGCCTTTACAATGTTGACCTCTTGCTGTGGTCTCACTTTGAGAACAGGCGGATTGATTGTTGGATTTTTTCATTTATTTGTAGCGGCATTTTTCTTCATGTCATTTTCCTACTATTTGCCATTTTTATTGACAACTATTTTGAGTGAGTGGTTTATTCTCTTAAAAATAATAATCGTTCCATATGTTAATGTAATTTTAATTTAATTCTGTTATTTTTTCTAGTGTTTACCCTCATTTTTTCAGTACTATGGATCTATGGAATTCATAGTGTAAGTACAAAAAAAAAACCAAAATAGAAAAGAAGTATGACAACTCAATTTCTCTTTATTATTACTAACCAACAGAATGACATAGAATTCATGTACTTGCCTCTTGTATGGACAAAATGTTTGGTTATACTTAGTTTACTTAATTTTATTGCGTATGCTTGGCTCGCACTTGTACATTTTCTATTTGCCGGATATTATGTGCAGCCAGATTTTTCGATCAATTTTTACTTTGCGTTCATTAGTATTTGTATCACAGGTTTGTTCAATTAGAAATTATAACCCACGATGAGAATTCACGAAAAGCGATGGAAATTAATTCGTTTTTTTTTCTCTCGGCAGTTATTGAATGGTTTGTGGCATCTTTGATGAATTCATTGTACAAAATAATGAAAGATGAGCAACGCACACAATGTACATATAATCAGCATGCAAATGCAAATGAAGAATCGGTCTTTTTAAAAAATAACTGGATACGACTTCATCTCGAAGGTCCTTTGGTGTTTATGGAAAAATTCGTTCAAAAAATAAATGAAATAGTTGACTTTAAATTGATTACATTTGATGCACCATCGAACCAAGACGATCTACCATCGAACCAAGAAGACTTACCACCATCGTATGATGCAATATGGAATGATTATAGCACTTTAATCGTACTAAATGACACAGAAAATGTAAATCTCATAACAAATCAACCAAATATACAAAACGTTTGAACAATTAAATGTTAGTAATATACACGAAATAAATACTCTCAATATTATGTTAAAAATCTATAAAAAAGTATATACTTTGTAACTAATCAATTATAAACTCTTCTCTTATAAACGTCTAATGAAGCTCAGAGTCGAATATTTTTTTTAAACTATAGTACTAGCTTCTGAAGGGCTTGACGACGACAACACCAAGAAAAACCGAGAATCGCAACTTTTCGATAAATTAGAATTGGACCGAACAAAAATTCTTCTCTTAGCATTGTATGCGTACGCGCAGTACAAGTAAAGTTTATCGCATTTAGTAAACGTACATTTTTCATTACAAAAATGTAACTATTTATATAAATAAATAATTCAGCAGGATAATTCAATTGTAGCTATTATCACACTGGAAACTCAAAAAAAAGAAATTTTTCAGAAAAATAAAAATGCCTAGCAAAACGCAAAAGATACAAAACAGCTACAAGTTACGCATATAAATATTTTCTCCAGCATGTGATTATTTATAGCTTGTGATTTGTATATGTAATGAGTGAAATTGCATTGTACATAGTGCTCTATATCATTTGGTTGTATTACGAAGATTCAATATGGAAAAAAAATTGTATTCAAGACGAAATGACTGAGGTCTGTAATTGTATTGTCGACTAGTGCTGTTCACTAGAATTAACATCATTTTATGTGCAAACAAATTGTGTTTGATTGTTTTTATGAATCCAATCTCCAAATGTTTTTTGAATGTTGATATGTTAATTTTCCTGACTTTTATCACAATTTATAGGCAAATATCTAGGTTTGAAGATGAGCAGATGTTTTAGCAAATAATCGCGAATCATCATATTTTAAAATAATATTTGCATTGAATTAATATTATGTGTATTTGAACACGGCCAATAAATCAAAACAAGAGTGAAAATAAAATGCAATTTCTTCAATTTTCAATAATTAATCATCCATGATTGAATTTAATATCAAATCATAATTTGCAAGGCTGCAATAAACGGAGCTTATAATATAAATAAATGACAAAAATAGATCGCCGGTCATTTAATCATACAATACAGACTGATCAAATAAACAATTGAAGTGACGAAATTCTGATGAGGATCGAATTGCTTTTTCACGCCATGTAAACAAATGGCATTCATTCTACATAACCAATGCGAAACCAGTCAATTAAAAGTGATATTTGATTTTGGAAAAATCACAAACCAAGCACATTATTGAATTTTGATGTTGTATGCAAAAATCACGAATTACCGTCTCAAACTGGCCGCACTTCATATAACTGACAACTTCTTTTTTTGCATCATTCTATTTTTGCGAGGCTACTTATTTGCACGCAGCTTAAGAGTAACAACAGAACTTTCAATTTATTTCGTTTATTAAAATCAGTTGGAGAAAAATTAACTTAAAATAATCATAAATTAACTGATAAAATCTACACTAATTGATCAAGACTACATCAAGTTTACGCGCATCGCATCGTGTGAGTTTTATCGAAGATTTTATATTGTTAATTCTTTTGAGATCTGTCTATTTTATGCATTTTTTGATTGTGGCATTTCATTTAATTACAGTTCACTATGAAAACTCTTAAATCTTGCGGTTGTTTCGATCTACGAACTGGTGGTTTGATATTTGGCTACACATTCCTTTGGCTTGATATTATTTTCATTTCGATATCATTGGATTACGCCATGTATTATAGTGCATTGGGTCGTAAGTTCTCACATTTATAATTTTATTAAATAATTCCAATAGCAATAAAAAAAGTTGAGTTATATTTATAAGGCCTAGATATATACAACATTTTATTCAATTGTATCAATTGTCCCGTTTCTAGTCGCCCTTCTCGTGTTCCCTATTTCCTGGACTGTTGGCGTTCATTTGGTCAGTATTTTTATATTCAATTTTCTTTCGCATTTTACAAATATTTATGTGTTGTGTGTTAAATATTCGCTGTAATCGCATTGATCAACTCGAATATTTTAATTTGATGCAAAAAAAAAAATTGAATCTAAGAAAAATCCATTCAATTTGAATTTAATATTGTATACTGTTTCTTGTTAAAACAGAATGATTCAAAACTTATGTGGCCTACTTTAGTAGTTATTGTGCTTATGACTATGTTAATTGTCGCTCTCATTCCTCTTGTCACATTAAAATTAATATCGTTTGCTAATAATGCACAAGATCCTAACACAAAGCACCCGATTACCACTTATTTGATGTTCTTTTACTGGATTTTATATTGTATGTTCGCAGGTTGGTTAAAATTAAAACTCTAATTTTATCAAAAACAATCAAACTGTATCGCTTTCTTTTTTATAGCATTTTCAGTGTATGTGACATGGGTACTGGCCTCTTTTTTCCATAAATCAATGATAGAGGAATTGCGATCTAAAATTGTCACTTACAACCAAACCGCTTGACCAAGAAGTTCCAATAAAAATAATAATATTACATATTTAAGTAAAAATTAATTCTTTACATGTCACTTACACAGTTTAATGTCAAAAAAATTCAAAAGAGAAATACATATTCTTGTATACCATTCGAAAAATTAAATAAAATTCCAACTAAATTTGCAAATTACATCTCTTGCCTTTTAATTGTCACGATTATATCAATATGTTTTGAAAGAAAACACAAAACATCTAGGCTGAACGATTTTATTGACATTTCTTCGAATTGTTCACTTTGATTGCAAAATATTTTGCATTAATTCAGTAACACATAGAAACGATTCAGTTTAAGTAATATCATTATTTATAAGCCGTTGTGTTTTATCAAGACTTTTTCTCACTTACCGTTTTCAAACAAGTGCTGTTCAATGGTTTTCTTGTATCGTTTATTTGTTTATGTTCTCTTTTTTGCATTGTCTTAAATGTGCACATAATAGTTTTGTGTAATATCGTTTTTTATGGAAATTTATATAGTAACTTAACGCGTTCTACATAAAATAGCCATACCATTGAAGTTGAATCCACAAGAATCATACACCGACAGACTGTCGACGAAATTTGAATATTTTAAAAAAATATAAAAAAAATGCAGCCAAATGAAATGATTTTGCATTTGAATTGTGTTTTCAATGAATTGAATGAATTCACAAAGAGAAATAATGCTTCTGTTCCAACACAAATCTGATAAGATTTCCTTTCAAGCTCTCTGGTCAAAAGTATAAAAAGTCAGTACCAAGTACTGAAGAACTCATTCCATTCGGAAACATTGCGATAACCAGTCAGTTGTTTACCAACAAATCTATCACAATCGTTTAATCACTCAAATTTTGAGTTATCAAATCCACGATTTTCATTTTAAATTGAAAAAAAACAAAACAAGAAACGATGTCACGTTTGGTACTTTTGATGCTGTGTCTTGTTGTGAGCCTGCACTTGGCGGTGGGTAGCAGCAAAACAAGCACACATAAACGGTTCTACGGCGAAGGTAATTATGAAAAAAATAAATGTTCGATTTTGACTTTATTTTCATTCAATGCGGACTAGAGTTAATCTATTATTTTTTGCCATTTATTTAATATAAAATATTTATTTTCGTTAAACATCAGGTGAACGACGTATGTATTATGACGACAATAACAACAACGGCAATGGTGATAACGGTAGCGGAGACACAGCTTCAACCGATCAACAAACCTCATTTGAAGACATTTGGACAAGAAAAATCGTAATCGGAATATCTATAAAAAAGGATGATGATAAAGTCAAAAGTGAACTTTAATAAAATGAAACTTATAATCATCGGCCTTGCACAAACACTTTTGCACAAATTTCCGCGTTATATTTTCTCTAGACATTGAAAATAAACTTATAGAAAAATCAAATTTATGCTGCATTTTTATTCGACATAACATTTGACCATCAGATATTTCATATCTTCATTTTTTATTTTCTTTGGGGTTTACGTTGAAATACACTAAGGCGAAATCACACTTTGAATTTATTGATGGTCTTTCAATCGACATTTTTTAAAATCAATGCTTAATGATCAACGCCCGAAATGAATATCACGCAAGCTTCATACATGAATAAAAATCTTCACATTTATATTTACTTTCACTGTTTTCCAAACATATATTAGGTACACAATATTTTATGACATTTTTCAACAAACAATGCAGAAAACTTATTACTTTAATGATCAATTTCCTCTTGATTTGGTGTCATTTTTCGAATTGAGAATTTTTTTAGTGACTTTAAGGCAGTTGGCCTAGGGGGTTTCGACTTATACGAATTATGTTTCATACATATTTTGCGAATGGAAGCAAATAATCACGCACACAAACTAAACATAGGAATGTTTATGTACAAATCACGACAATATGTCGCATCTTGCAAACATATGCGGCATTCGCGAATGGCTTCGAATAAAATATACGAATTTTCATAGATATTGATGCGAATGAATATATACTTTATTTCGTATATTTCACTTATGAATAGGAAAAGTTTATATTTTGCGAATAAACTGCCATTCACGAATAGTAGAAAGCCACTAGCAGTTGGCGGAGAAATAAATATAAATATTACAGAGAGACAGAAAAATCGTGATTTTTAGTAAATATTATAGTTAAAAATAGAAAGTTATCGCAGAAAAAGAACTACGTTAAAAATTCGAGAATGAATTGTGTCCGTAATAATAAATATGGCAATACAAAAACGGAATCTGAAAAACGTTACATAATTTTTTTTATGGAGTTGTACTATGTGAAAAAAATTATGTAACGTTCTTCAGATTCCGTTTTTGTATTGCCATATTTATTCTTACGGACACAATTATTTGAATTATCAAAAAAATTATCACGACGATATATATATTCAAAATTCCGTGTCAAAATTGGTTTTCTGAAGAATGACAAACAATGGCATTTGAATTTTAATATTAAGGAATTGCTCGAAAAAATCTCAAAAGCGAAGAAAATTTAACAAGCCTAGGGTAATCAAGACTTGTTCTCATTTATTGCTCTTATTCAAACATATCTTTTTATCATTTTCTTTGGCGTGCAACAATTAATTTTGTGTATTATTGTTGTTTTTGTGGAAATTACTATAACAATAAAAAATTATGTAAATAAAATTCAGAAAAATGTGCTTGAATATTTTAAATCAATGAAAAATATCAACCTACATTTAAATTTTAAACGTTTCGCTTGGTATTAACAATTAGGCGATTAGTAATTATTTAAAAAAATGCAGTCTGATGAAACGATTTTTCATTTGAATTGTGTTTTCAGTGAATTGAATGAATTCACAAAGAGAAATAATTCTTCTGTTCCAACGCAAATCTGATAAGATTTCCTTTCAAGCTCTCTGGTCAAAAGTATAAAAAGTCAGTACCAAGTACTGAAGAACTCATTCCATTCGGAAACATTGCGATAACCAGTCAGTTGCTTACCAACAAATCTATCACAATCGTTTAATCACTCAAATTTTGAGTTATCAAATCCACGATTTTCATTTTAAATTGAAAAAAAAAAAAACAAGAAACGATGTCACGTTTGGTACTTTTGATGCTGTGTCTTGTTGTGAGCTTGCACTTGGCGGTGGGAAGCAGCAAAACAAGCACACAAAAACGGTTCTACGCCGAAGGTAATTATGAAAAAATAAATTTTCGATTTTGACTTTATTTTCATTTAATGACTGGAGTTAATCTATTATTTTACGTCATATATTAAATTGCTAAATATCAGGCGAAAGACGTGTGTATAATGACGAAAATAACAACAACGGCAATGACATCGATAACGGTAGCGGAGAAACAACTCCAACCGAACAACAAACCACATTTGAAGACATTTGGACAAGACGAATCGTTATCGGAATATCCATTAGAAAAGATGAAGAAAATCCCACAGATAATAAACCAAGCCCACCATCAATTACACCACCGTGAACGTTTTAAAAAAATTGTTGCACCATTGAAATTGATTTTCTACATTGGAACTAGCAATCAAAATGATTTCTGTATGATAAATTCGACTTTAAATGATTCAAAATAAATCCAATTATAATCACGTTTGCAAATTTAAAGAATCAGAAATATTTATTTTTATCGATGAGATTTACCTTTATTAGATTATTACTGTGGTATGTATTCACTTATAGCGAACATATTTTTGATGTCCAAACTCCAGCGAACTCAGCTCTTGGTCTCGAATATGGAATGAAAGAACGTTCATGTATAACTTTCCGACACATTCAAAAGAACGGCCAATATAAAACTCAGTAAGTTGTTTTTTTTTTTTGAAAGATTATTATTTTATTTTATCAATGTATTATTCCATTTTGAGTTTTAACTTTTTTTTTGTTGCTTTGTTAAATACTATATCACCAATTTCATTTTTTTCTTCATTTATAATATGTGAATAGATGTAGATAACTGCTTCATTTTTTTTATCTGTTTAATTTCTGAAATGCAAGTTCTCGTTAACGACAACAATCGACAAACTGAATGGGTTGCGTGTGTGTATGTGGTTTTTTTTTCTCTTATTCTCAATTTCTTTCACTTATGTTTTGTTAGGTGTTTTTGGTTTTTATTTGTATGGTTTTTGTTTTCCTCCAAAGAAATGCAATTTGATTTTGACCATTTGTAGCGAGATGGTTTAATATAGTAATGAAATGAAATTGATAGTTTTAGATTACATATTGTGGCCATTGATGAATTGTGTGCGTGAGCGCTTTAAAAGGATGTGCTTTTGGATATTGTGCTTAAATCATCATCTCGTCACTGGTGCATAAATTGCGATTGTATGATTCATTTGTAAGTGCGCCACGAGATACTCTCAAAATCAGAAATGAATGAATGCTTCTCTCTCTGTCTGTCTTTCTCTTTGACTCACTTTCAAACAAGCGAAGAAAAAATTACCTAGGTTGATTGATTTATCTATATTTTCAAATAAAGCGTTCAATATATATATATATATATATATATGTATATGATCAACAGATGTGAAAATTACATTAGATTTTTTTCTTCTTTCTTTCTCAGTAATATATCTATATGAAAGTGGCGAATATATTTGAAAAAAAAAGCATAAAAGCGTTTTTGCTATAGTAAATATAAATCAATATAGTATCTCTCAAAAGCTTGCAAATAACTCGCACATTTTGTCATTTTTCTTTGCTCTGGTATTCGGGCGGCGGGGAGAGAGGGTTGGGGAGAGGTTTAAAATTAAAAATAATGATTTGCGATGAATATATATATATTTTTCTTGAAAATGTTTCGGTGTCATTTTGCATTCCGTGTAAAAGTGTTTGTGTGATAGTGTGTATGTGAAATGATACACAGTCGCAGAGAACATTTGATTCAGAAATAAAATATTGTGAACATAGCATGGCATTTATTCAATCATACATAATATTGTCATATTTTCATTTTTTTTAAATGTTTTTTTTTTCATCTTATTTATAGTACAATATATCAGTATTTAAACTGTTCCATTTTTCCTCATTTCTTTCTCTATCTTACTCTCTCTGTCCCTCTTGATTGATTGATTGATCGATATGCCAGAAATATGGAATTTCTAATATTCATCTGTTTCATTTATTATATACATTTATGTATATACAATTCGATTCGCCGTTCATAGTTAGCTTTCAGGAAATTTTCATTAATGGATTTCCTTACAAAAAAAAAATTCTCCAGATAGACGATTAGTCTGTTGTTTTTTTAGTATAGATTGAATTTTATTAATTATTTTTTTGATGTTGTTGTTTTTGTTGTTGGCAAAAATCTGTGCGCAATGACACAAAAGTGACTCAATTACTTATGATACACAGATTTGATATTGTTGTTGTTGTTATTTTTTTGGAAGTTGAAAAAGAATAAAATACCACGTTTTTTTCCTCATTCTATGTGTAAACGGTTTCATTTATCTATGCCATTTGAAACTACTCGGTAGATTCACACACTCCTTCATCTCCCTCACTTTCTGGCTTACGAAAAAAAAATTGTTTTGTTTTCATTGCCTTAATTTGTTTAGTCATTTTAAATTATCGATCAAACGAATGTATACATTTCGCGATCGATATCGCTTAAGTTTCATCGATTTATTTCATTTTTTTTCGTAACAATGAATCTTATGTAATTAGTGAACATCTTGTGTGTTTTTTTTTCTTCTCGTTTTATTTCAACTGGTTTTTTTTTTCATCTGGGAAACTTGCAAAAACTACATGTTAAATTACAATAAAATAGGGTTTTGTCATCCATTGTAAAGATATTCTTCATCTAATTTGTTTACGATTTTATTATTTGCTTGCATCGTATATTTACTCTATTCTGTACTTTTCAACTACTTTTTCCATTTCATCGCAGTATATAAATAACGTATTTTTTTGTTTTTTTGTTTGTTTGAAGATTTCAATGGACTGTACACGAAGCATCCAACGTAAAAATGTTACATATACTATCGTTTCTGTCTAAGCCAAAGATAAAGAGTGGCATTGATTGTTCCATTTTAAATTGGATACTTGAATACAGATCCATTTGTTGTGTGATTTTGCTATGCTACAAATATGTATAGAATTTCTCTTTGTTTTAACTCTCATCATTTGCAATCGAATCGATATGCGACATCTATCTTCTAATCTTTACACATAATCGCGATATAACTTTTGTTTTCATCTCACATTTGCTGTAAATATATATATATATATTTTTATATAGTATTTTGGTATCTAATGCAAAGAGTGTTCGATCAAATCATACACTTTTATTTACTTTCCATTAAATAAAATCGATGGAACTTGGCCTTACCGGCTTAGTTTTCCAGAGAACAAATGCCAAACATTGATCGACGCAGTTATGACTTAAACGGAGAAAAAGAAAATTCAACTGATAGACGCGTATTTGTGCCTCTCTTCAACCAATCAAAGTGTTTGCATATAAAATCGAACACCCGATGCTATCACCTTCACTCACTCAGTGTGTTTCGTTTCGTTTTTTTGTAAATGTATTTGAGGAAAGATATATGTACTGTTGCTCAAACCTCTTCTAAGACACCAAACACAATAAGCGACCATTCTTTGCATCGTAATTGATTGTTCCTATTACATCCAAAAATTATGGAATGTTTGCCATCATTGCAAAGTACAATTGCTTACTGTATCAGTGAACAACCCAACTACCAGTATATATCATCATCAGAACTGTTATTGTCACCGTGGATGTGAGGGCACTTTTCTTGTATTAAGGCGCAGCACTTTAAAAATTATATGGAATAAGTGCGGGTACTGGTGAGTACTCACACCTTTCCGGCAACCAATAACAGCTCTGATCAATAGAATATTAACTGGGCTCCACTTTAATGACGTAGATCTCTCCGTCGTGATCAAATTCCGGTTGATCAATGTCCACTGTACACGTGCTTTTGATTGCCAATTGTCAAACATAATACATAATATTAATCGGAATAGACTGCATTTATGACCTTTTTTTTAATATTTATAATAAATTGGTTTTGCTTTTAGTTATAATTGGCTGCATAGCTGTCCACGAACACCAGCGAACGAACCGTTCGTTCGTTTTCAATGTATATTTTGTTCGTTTTACAGTTATTATCGCAATATTTGTGTACATTGAGAAAATAAATTTCCATAAATTACGAACGAACGAACCAGACAATATATTTGGATTTTGTCATCTGGATATTTCAGCTCATCTGGATAACGTTAGGTGATGATACGAAATGAAAACAATAGCAGTGATTGGTATAGTTATGATAGTATTTTTATACCTATACAATACAACAATCACTTCTATTGTTTTCACTCCATATCATCGCTTAGCATTATCCAGATGAGCTGAAATATCCAGATGACAACATCCAAATATATTGTCTGGAACGAACGAACAACTCATTTTCTACGAACGAACGAACGAACAAAAACACCAAAAAAATATTCTACGAACTAACGAACGTTCGTGGACAGCTATGATTGGCTGTTTTTAACATATTTTCCATTTTGTTTTGCATTTTATTTATAATATGGACAGAGTGATTATTGTTTAGTCGCGTTCACGCAATTTTATTGGATTATTTCGTTCAGATAAGTTCAGCCAATTTGAGAATATTTACAGATCAAATGTTGATTTTTTTATATCATTTGTCACAATTCGTCGTGATCAGGGTACATGGATTAATGGATTTTAACAAGAACAAAGAAGTCTTCTTTTTTTTTAGATTGTCTCTCACTAGCCGATGCTTAGATATTGGAAAGTTCTTAATTTTTTTAATTAAGTGAAAAGAAAAATGTTGATCTGCTCTATAAGATTTTTGGTTTAGATTTGAGATAGTGAAGATAAAAATCGAAGAAAGAGATTTGATTGATTTTTGGTTCTTAATGGATCATTTTCAGTAACTGAATGTCTTGGACTGTATGCTGCTTATTTCAACTCTCTTTTGTCGTAGAGAAGATACTGGAAGTAAAAGCAATTTGTAAAAGTTTTTTTTAAATACATTTAACGTTGAGAAATGTAACGCTATGACCCATTTTGGTGGTCACTTTCGTGTCAAATTGAAGAGAGATTATATGTGTAGTTTCCACATTACATAATGTGAACTCGATCCAATACAACGTTGAGTTTCAATTTTGAACTTCAAATCTAATGATTCAATTGTCGCCAGTTTCACAAACAGATTTTTTTATATGTTTTTTATTACATTGCATTTTTGTTATTCCATGAACATGTAACATTTTACACTTTGCGATCATTTTATTTATATGAATTGATTTGATTGTTTGCCTCTGTGTGTGTTCTGTGTCTATTCAATAAGATGAATGAAGCATTCAGATTTTTTTTTAACCATCATCACTATTACACAATTGCTTCAAGGCAGGTTCTGTTTAAAACATAGGCAAAATATCGCTAATGTTATCCGTTTTTCGCAACATTGTCAACGCTCTTCTCATTGATTGGCCCACAAATGGTGGGTTCAAAAACGGATTCAACCAACCTGACAATGCATTGCCAGTCTAATGCCATAAAAATGCCATCAATTATATTTATCATCGACCAATGGCAATGTCGAACC